TTGTCTCTAGACATGGTTGATGGGGGGGGGGGGGAGGAGGGAAGGTGTTGGGTTCTTCAAAAGCTAATGCATTAAAACTCTGCCCAAACTGTTATTTTTAAATGCTTCTAAGGTGATCATGATTTTAATTCCGATTATGAAGCCTAGAAGACCATTCAGGCATCTCTTCTACACATGTGCCATACGTGATACATGCCTGAAGAGCCAGTTACTAGTGTAGCAACTGCATCTCTAAGCAGCTCTAGAAACCAACCCTGAATCAGCTCTTGAACAAAGAAGATAAAGTTGTGTCCTTCTCTTTCAAGCATCACTTGAAGATCTACCCAGCCTTTTTGAAGAGTAATAATAGCAAATTAGCCTCCCTCAGATACAACTGAGAGCCAGATGAGGCCAAGTCACCACTCCAGTATATGCCTCTTGCCCACAGTGAACACGAGGTGATTAGCTCTATTCACAGTCAGAGTGGTAAAAAAAAAAAAAAAAAAAAAAAAATCAGCCAAAAAAATCAAATTACCTCTCATCTGCTGGTCTTCTGCCAGCATGTGGCAACTTCATCAGTGCATTAGAGGTGTGTGTGACACTCAGTTATCAGCTACGTAAAACATCAGACGGCTCAGTCTTTTATTCCAACATCAACCCATGCAGACAAGCCACAAAGCGGGCACCTCTCCAGAGCTGCACTGAATCCCCTTCCTGAATTAGCACTAGAACAACTGCAAATTGTTAATGCCTTGGAGCGAGAGCCCATCTTGCAGATAGATAGCACACAGAAAAGCCATGAAAATGCTAAAACTTAGCTTGAGGAAAGCGAAGATGTATTCTCCGGGCATCTTTGGTTCACCGGTAGAAAATTTGGGGTGATATCCTTGCAAGTGAGATGCTTCCCCTCCCCCAAAGCAATCAGCCAGCACATCATATGTTCCGCAAATGCACCAGTAATTAATGAGACACTTACAGCTGTATATATCTGGCACACTTGTATTTAATTCAGTACTGGCAAGCTTGCCAGCTACCCAGCTCTCCCTGCACACCCCCCTCCACCTTTCTGCCCTCGAGGTTAGAAAACAACCAATGCTCAGAGTGCAAGTAGAATACGCTGAGAGCTGCATCCAGCCCTACATCCTCCAGGCACAGACAGCAACCACAGCCCTGTCTCCATCAGATGTACTGTCAGATCTTCCTCTTGGTGTCAGAGAAGGAGAGTATTTAGCTAATCAACATGAGAAGTAACCAATGTCTGATGTCACCACAATGAAACCCCACTTTCATACAGATCATCTGAGCTTTTCAGTTCTTTGGTAGAAATGGTCATCATTGGCAAAACTGAAAGTTCCACATTATTTTGTGACTGCAGCACAGCAGTAAACAATGGCAGAATGCTATCACGTGAGCTGCATGAGAAGATGATGTCCCAGAAGTTCCCATTCACCTTCACCCAGATGGATCACAAGAATGCCAAACAGCATTTGATGCTTTTATTGCCCAATTTACCTTCTGTTTCATTACAACCAGCCAGCTCCAGGAGTAGAGAAGGACTGATACCTGCTGGCTTCATGTGTCCTTTCTCCAGGTCAACAAGGCAGCTTTGGCTTCTTCACAATTTTTGTTGCTCCTGTCCCACTGCAGCCTGAGCACGCTGATTATCATCTGCTTTCAGGTCCCTTCCACCTTTACCATTTTTACAGAGGTTGTGGTATCCTGGGTGAACATTCAAGTTTCACAGCCTTTCTGGGACCTACCTAGAGCTTGCTCACCTCTCCCTGTGGTTTGGTTTAATTAATGCAAAGCAGAGTTAAATACAATAACAAGCACATGCTGCAATTCCACCCCAGGCTCCTCCTGGGAGAGCTGCTTTATCCTACAGTCAGCAAAAGTACATAAGCCCCTCTAACATAATTGACACTGTGATCAAAGTGAACTGTGTCAAGATTTTACTATAAGTAATATTATTTTTTACACCAGCATGCTAACATTTCTCTATGAAAGGCATTTTTGGCATCATTTTCTCTCTCCTCCTCCACCCCATACCTTTATTTTACACCTAAAGCCCTCCAACTTGCACAACAAGGTTCATCTCCTGCATACGTTGTCATCACTGAGGGAAACAAGAAACACGATACTTTTGTTTCCTCTCTCTCAATGCAGCTCTGAATGAACTCTGGGTATATCCTGGGTTTGTCACTACGCAAACCCAAAATGTAGGTCAAAAGTCTGTGTGGCTTGCCACAGCAAATGACTGGTATTTCATCTGCCTGAAGCCAGATGGGAACTGAGTCATCTGCTGCTGCATCATTCTCTGCTTTTCTCCTTTCCTCAACCCTGGTTTCTTTTTTCTTACCATCAGATTGTGGTTGACAGAATGCAGTGACATCAAAAGACCAGGACAGCAATGCCTTGTACTGCACATCACGCAGGGAGGGGATATTTCCCATTTATTTTTTGTTGAAGCCATGCCTCTTTCCCAACACAGCACCTACCACATAAGTAGCCACTTTCTAAAGTGAATGCAAATTTTCATTTTCTTCATTTACCTGCTATACTTGTCTTTCATGTGAAGAAATTAGCACACGTGAACAGGAAAAAAAAATATAGAAGAGGTTATTTGACCTACAGGGCGTGGGAGAAGAGCACACTATCACTTTCACCACTGTTTGCTTGGGAGGTGCACTGGTCCTTTGGCATGGCCACTTCTTATAGCTCCTGAAGCAGGTCTGCCAGTCAATTCATGCTGTTCTTTGTGTTACATTAGATTACACAGAACTGAAGTCTTTTGTGCTAGATGCACAAACATGCACTGCAAAAAAGCCCCTGTGTCGGTGTTGTGGTCAAGGGAAAGACTTTGAGATAATACCCAAAGGGAAAAAAATATGTGATTTTTGTTTCATGCTACTGATTTGGAGGTAAAAGGATCAAAAAGCAGTCTAGCCCCTCTGCAATACTCATCTCAGCTTTCACAAGTTTTATGTGTTCATATAAATGTTTATCAGACCAAATTCCAGAAAACAGGACTGACAGGACCTTGGAGAGATCACCCATCCCAAAGCAGAATCAAGTTCTATCAAAAGTTACTCTTTTCTCAGGGGTAATCCCTGCCAAGGCCTTCACATCAGTGGAGTTTCCACAACCTCCTTCAGCTTCCATCCCAACAGTAGAAACATCACCCAGCAAGAAGTACCACTACTGATGGTACCATCTACAACCTGAGGACATCCAGGGCATTATATGTAGCCCAAACAACGTTTATTTCAGTGAAGAAATCACAATTATTATAAGCAATAGGAACACAGTAGGAGAGGGGGCCGATGCATCACAGCTGCTGGTACAAGAACCTACAGGACTGACAACAAGGTCTCCTTTAGCTAAAAAAAGAAAATTACTTTTGTTTTAATTGTACAAGCACACTTTGCAATGGAAAGGGAAGCAATAGTGTTGGCCAAAGATAATTGATAACTCTGCAAGTCAGAAACCACAAACTTTCTACTTATTCTAAATAAAAAAATTTGTATGTTTGTACTGCAAGCCCCTTGCTATCACTTCTGCTCAACAACATTTATAATGTGGTAACTTTGGAACAACTCAAATTCACAACTCAATTCAGCAGTTGAGCTGCAAGGAACCAGAACCAACATTGTGGAAGGCTGCAATCAACTGAAAAGTGCTGGTATGACCTATTGTCAGTAGAAATACTAAAAAAAGTCCTCCAGTAGCACATTTGACTGCAGGCACAGCCTAAAATGCCACCTCATCCTCCTCACCTTAGACTTTAGAAATTTAACAAAGGTTTTTTCCTCTTACCTCCTTGTTGGTGACTCCCGGGGGCAAAGTCCCATGCTTGTAATCCTCCAACAACTGCACAGCTTCCTTCAAGCGACTCTGCAAATAAAACAGCAGCATGGTCTGCAATGCTTGTCCTGCACCAAATCGTTTTATTGAAGGCAATGAATTTAGGTTACAGAATTATATCTTCTTTCATGCAAACTTTATGACAGATGCTTTTACCCGTATGATATAAAAGGAAAAAGGATGCATGGACACTTGTTTTGCTGGTTGGCATAGCCCTGTTGTTTTGTATGTAACTACAGTGGTACAGAGGAAAAAACAAAAGAGAAAATGCAAAAAATGCTCCTCCTCACAAGGCATCTATAGAAGACATCATAAAAACCTGAGAGTTTTAAGCGTGGCACCAGAGATCTGACAGATCTTGAAGAATGAGTTCTTGCTTAAAGGTAGAAAATAGCTTAAGACAAAATGGATACATTCAGATGCAACGTGGAACATCCATCTAAGATACTGGTATCGCCCCATGCCAACTCTCAGATTAATATATATCCCAGTGATGTCTACAGGGAAGGCAACTTTGCTCCCACACCCTCTCCCAGCACAGGCACTGGGCAGGCATAGCTGAGGGAAGAGCAGGGCAGAGGCTTATTAAGATAGATATTATAGATATTGAGCATCACCACCGAGAACTCGGTGCCCGCTAAGAAGTCACAACAAAACAAGTTTTAGCCAGACCCCAGCACAGCCATATAAAGAAGAGCAGCTCTCCTGGACCTCGCATTTAACAGCACCCAAGGCAACGTAACCACACCGCTTTGGGATTGCGCAGTGAAGCTCACGTCAAGTTAATTTATCTGAAATACCCTGACATTTTCATACACAGATCTCAGGGTGCCCCTGACCCGTGCTGCTTTTCTACGGCGCCTGTTACACGCTCATTCAGGCAGCGCTTTCGCAAACAGTTCTGTTCTCTCTAAAAATACCAAAGTCAGTCATCAGAGCAGTTAAAGTTAGAATCCGACTATCACTAGCAATTCAAATACATGCATGTGTAAATAAAGATCTTCCTCACATTGTGATAAAATAGAAGAATAAATACATTTCATGTGTTCAAGAGATCACAAGAGCATTAAGCCATGCTACCAGCCTGTCAGAATCATCCATTTACTCCCAGAAATTATTCATAGACATATTTTTAAAAAAGTGTTCTGCAGTTGAAGCAGTGTAAATTTATATATACATACAATATTTTCAAGAACTATATATAATATTTTCAAGACTAATATATATATAAATATATGTAGTTTATTATTTAGAGTGTGTATATAGATACTCATTATAATAGATATACATTTTTTTTAAATAAAAAAATAAAAAATACCAGAGGGCAGAAGTAGAGAAAGATTTTTTTATTACTCCAAGCTAAAGAGGAACAAGTCAGGATACAAAAAGCAGCTTTGGTGTGATTAAATCTGCTTATCCAAGCCTGCAGAAAGCACCAGATCACCAAGTAATAGCTCCCAAATATTTGAAGCCAAACAAATCACTCAGCTAAACATTTTCAAAAGCCTCCTGCAGGTTATCTGTCATCCAGATGAGTAACACTGACTTGGATTTGACATTTCTGCACCAGCTCTGTTGTTTTGGCAGCTGTTCTAATATTAGTGCGGGAGGACATTTCATAAATGCAGGATATTTTGTCTCAAACAACATGCAGCGTGATGGTGGTTCATCTAAAGCCCTGTGGTTTCGGCGTAATCGTGTCAGGGCTCTTCGTGGTCACTGCAAGCTCTGCTCTCACAACCCTCCTGTAAATAAGGCGAGAGTCCCTGAGCTCATTACGAGCTCCCGTCCATGGGATCGGTTGCAGGGAAATTACTTTTCTCCCTTTCATGCAAACATCAAAGAGTACTTTGTTGTTTCCTTGGAAGCGCCAGCAGTTACGCCAACCTGAAAGCGGCAATTAATGAATGACTATTGTCCTTAAAACATTCAACACACAGAACATATGGAAGAGTGGCAATTCCTTCACTTTGCGGAGAAAGAGGGTTGGGATCGGATCCACGACCATTTTTACACTGGCTGAGCTCACATCATCAGCACCACATTATTTCCAGCCCTGGTATTTCATGTATTTTATATATTCTTGCAAGATTAGCAGCTACTCAGCAGAAGTGGAGAGTCGGTACAAAGATGCCAAATGAGGTTTAGCATCAGATAGGAACAAACTCTGCAAAAAACTACACATTCTTGGCTCAGAGATGGGGCTTGTTCATGCTGGGTGCTAATGCCAAAGTCAGTGCTACCAGCCAAAGCTCATGGCCCTGTGTCACTACACACATGTATTGAGTGATAAATTTTCTGCCTGTTTCTGGGTATGTTGTCCTGAAATTGGCTCCCTCTGACTAAGCCTGTCCCATGCTCCCTGCCTGACATGTCCCTGTGGAAAGAGCTGCTGATTGTCCCTCTCGCACTTTGCTGAGCACCTTGCTTGTGACCTCCCAGTGCTGCTTTGGATTTCTCCTACTAGATGGGGCTCAGCTCTGCTTGCAGATTCCACCACCACCCTCAGCTGCTGGCACGTTCATTGCTTACCTCAAGGAGGACTAGGCTATATTGAGAGAATGAAGGACCTCAAAGAATGACAGTTAAGGCCAATACTAGACTACATTTTAGTGCTAAGTGTGAGCAGTTTCTTTTGTTCGTCTATTTCCATTTTATTGGCGCATTGTGAAATTCAGAAAACTATATTCATCAGTTTTTACAGGGTATCAAAGATGACAGATGATTATGTTGAAGAATCTCCCTTCCTTCTTTAAAGGTTAGGCAATCACCCATTTCACCTAAAAAGCTGGCTGTGGAAACACTGTGCCCTGCTCCAAAAAATCAGACAATGACTCAGTACATAAAAGCTTTTGTTACTGGTTCAGAAAATACATCTACCCAACTCAAACTTTCTCCAACAAAGCAGGCCACAAGCAGGTGCACAGGGAAAAGTGAGAAGGTGGCAAGCAGAAATAATGGCTCCCTTAAGCACCCTCCCAGCTTCCCACTGCTTTTAGCCAAGGATCTGAGGATTTAGTGATCTTCAGTGGATTCCTCCTCTAGCTGCTTGCCCAAGGGTGTCCCCTTGAACTAAACTGCCATCATCCAAGTAGACATAAAGACAAGGCGTATATAGCAACAAAAATTTGTATCTTAACTCTTAACACTCTTCCTTTATGCATATATAAGCTAAATCTGTCTTAAAATTTAAACCCATCTTAATAAAAAATAATATGCAAGCGATCAAGGGAATACACGAGTCCTTCCAAGTCCTCTTGATATTGGACAAAAAGGAAGTGTTACGAATCGGGATGATGTTTTCTGGTGACGTAGCATTGGGTGATGCACTGTTTCTCCAGAAGGGCTGAGGATCTCAGACAGAAGAAAAGCTGACCTTGAGAAACAGGCACATGGGATGAAATCCAACAGCACAGACACATGGCCATGCTCTTCTGGTCTCAGATTTCTGCAAGATTCTCAGGGCCCTGTAGCTACAACTACAAGAAGACCTCTGTAGACCAACTACAAGAAAGATCAGTTAAGAGTGTTGGTTGACGACTGGAAAATTATGAAGCACTGCAGGCATGAGACACAAATAGGATTTTTAGGCTCTTTCAGGCATTCCCAACTTGTGAAGAAAAGAATCATACAAGATCACAATAGGACTTGAGCCTCTTGAAGTTGTTCTTGATAGCTCCTTGCCCTGTTGGCCGCATGGTTGTTTAAAAATATCATATTAGGAAAACACTATTACCTAGCATGAGTTTTAATAAAACAGAATTGTATAAGACTGTAGACAGCCCGATAATCCAGTGGTGAAAAGCCAGACAGCTGAATGACTAATGACTGCATATCCAGGGAAGACAACCCATCCTGTCTCCAAAGCTAGAAAATAACCCAGGAGTGCCAGCACAACATTCTGGAGAGCCATTTGTGCTCATTATTGGTATGTGTTTTTATCACTGAAATTACCTACACTGTGTGTCTTGCAAATTATCTCCACAGAACAGCATGTAACTCTGAATGAAAAACTGGAAGTAATAGATGAATGGGTCTGTGTTCTATTTTTTTTCTCCTTCTCTTGAGGAAATCTTAGTAGTTACTATAACAACCCTGGCCAGATCCCATCTTGTTTAGTATGGTAACAAACAGAAAACAAAAAAGCCCGATTTCGCTTTTAAAATTGCAGTCTTCATGAATTTCCTCTTTCAGCTCCATGGGGAGAGAGGGGAACTTTCTCAAAGAAAAGAGTCCTAGACCAACCCTGCTGATGGCTCCCAAGGTTGACAAAAGAGTGATACAGAAAGCAAACAAAAGTGGTAAACTTAAGGACCACATTAAGAAGACACCTTTCACACGGCTTGGAGGTGTTTGGCTAGTTCTAGTGAATGACCCACAGCCCCAGAATTTCAGTAGTGAAAGTACATGGTTGCTTTTTATCCCTTCTGGAAAAGTCAAGCACACTCTTTTAACCAGAGCCTGCAAAAAATAGGAAATAACTTTACAGCGTGCAACAACTCCAAATGCCAACCAGCTCCCCTCCCTGGCTTTTAGCACGATACAGCATTATTATGATAGTTGATAATGTCTAAGATTACACTTCATTTCCATTTTAACAGGGAAAAAAAAAAGAGGTCTGTCTACAAGGTTGTGCTACTGATTCAATATTTATTGTTGCTTGATTTCTCTACTGCTATCTGTAGGAAGACGTGTCACTTGAGTTTCTACAGCATCACTTAAAAAAAAAAATGCAACCACAGCTTTTACCAGTATGTATCATTTCTTTCATACCCCTTTTCTCGTAAAAACTAGAGCACTTCTAGTGGTGGATGATGGGGTCTCAGCTCTGACAATAGGGTGCTAGACAGACCATCTGCACCCAGAGGAAGTTCTTATAAACCTAAGCCCAGAAGCAGTGCCAGGAATCTACCATGCTCAGCAATTCAGAAGCACTAACTCCATTCTTGGTGCTCCACCACAGCGGCCTATGTCATGTCCACATGGGAAACACCACCCAACAAGAACAAATCTTTAGAAAAAGGCTCAAT